GTTGTTATTTCAACTTAATTGCACGCTATTAGTCATGTTTTGCTGGCTCAGCCCTTTTTTGCCAGATGGCAAGTTGGCAAAAGCTTATTTTTTTGGAAAGCTAATGGGTTAGTCATTACTCTTTAGAATCACAACTTTTGAATTGAGGAACAATGACATGAAAAAGCAACAGATTTTAAGGCACTACGAAACTTGTAACGACAATGTACGTTTAGAAAGTAAGCATTTCATGAGCTGAATATTTAAAGAACTGGAAGCAAAGTTTCTGCATAATTCCTGCTACTCAGTTCATTGAACCTTTTGGCAATCAGCTTCATCTTGTATAGAGGGGTAAATGCCTTGGGTAAACAAGCCGTGTCATAATAATGCTGCACCATACTTAACCAAAACAGCCAAAGGTCAGCAAAATACCTGAAAATTTAACCCTCAAAGCAGTGACTTATTCATTGATCCTAACAATTCCAGAGAGAATTCAATTGTGTCAGTATCATTACAAAAGCCAGCAAAAGGTTTTGACCAAAACAGCTGGTTTGCTAGCTAAAACCCATTTTTTAATTTTGCATTTTTTAAAAAGGAGAAACAAAGGTGGGGGGAGGTTTGGCTGCCTCTTCTCAAAGTCTCCCAAAGTCATTTAAACCTGCACTCAGCAGTCACAAATCGTTCTTTCAGCCCAAAATTCTGCAACATGCTTGTTCATCTCAAAAGCATGTCCATCTTTCCTGCAATCACGTTTCAGATACTCAATCAGCTTTGAAATGGTTCTAATCAAAATCCTCTGAATGTAACCGAATCGCAGAGGACTCCTGTGGTGCAGTGGGAATGCCCCTATCCCTGCGCCAGGAAGCCTGGGTTCGAATCCCACCTGCTCCAGAGGTGTATAATAACATCTCTGAACAAGTTGATTAGAAAAATAAGCTAGAATTTTAAAAATTAAGAAACGTAACTAAGTCACGGAGGGCTGTTGTGGTGCAGTGGCAGTGTCCCTGCCCCTGGACTGGGATGCTGGGTTCAAGTCCCACCTGCTCAAGGGTGTGTCATAACATTTCTGAACAGGCTGATTTGAAAATATCTGCAAACAAGTCACATTCATCCCTCAACACACTTGGCAGGCCATTGAAAATGGAGATGAGAAATTTCTTCACTCAAAGGGCAGTGCACCTGTAGAAATCTCTACCCGAGAGAGCTGTAGAAACTCAGTTGTTGCATATGACTGAGATTGATACATTTCCACATATTGAAATCATCAAGGGACAGGACAGGAAAATGGTGCTCAAGTGAAAGGTCAGTCACAATCTCACTGAATGTCAGATTGGCATGAAAGGCTGAAAGGTCCTCTCCTACTCCTATTTCCTTTGTCATGCACAGAAGAGGCCCTTGGGCCCATCAAGTCTGCACCTATCTACACGAATTCCTTTTTCCAGCACTTGGCTCATAGACTTGAATATTATGACATTTCAACTGCTCATACATGTACTTTTTTAAAATATCATGAAGTTTAACTCTTCTATTGCCCTCCTAGGCAGGGCATTCCAGATTCCCGCTATCCTCTGAATGAAAAATGTTTTCCTCAAATGCCTCTAAACTTCCTGTGCTTCACTTTAAAATTGTGCCCGCTTGTTAACAACCTTTCAACTACTGACCCTTCCTGGCCATCCTATTCACGTCCCCCAGAATCTTATACACCTCAATTAGATCGATCGGAGCCTTCTTGGCTCTGAAGAAAACAACCTGAGCATATCCAGCTCTCTACATAACTTAACTGCACCAACCCAGCCAACATCCTGAAAGATTAGTAAATCCCATTTCTGTTAACAGACAACTCATACCAGCACACAGTTCAATACACCTTAGAACACCAAGCTGAGTGCAGTTTTGACATCATCCAAGATAAAGCAGCCCTCACAATCAGTTTCCCTCCATTTTAAACACGCATTCTCTGTGGTAACATAGTTGCAGTGAACCCCACACACAAAGGCATTGCAGTAACTCACACGGCTTCTCCCAAAATAGCATCTCCCAAACTTCTAATATCTACATCAAGAAAAATAAAGGCAGCCAAATTAAGTTTCCACAATGGAGATAAGCTATTCAACTAAGACCACGAACTATTCAAAACATGATGAAAGGCCTCTTCAGGGCCCAACCAATGCTCTTCGCTCGATCAATATTGCTATTATTGCAGTACTGCCATTTCCAAACGTGTACAAATCCTACAACATCCTGACTTGGAAGCAACAGATTTTCCTTCATCAGCACTGGGTCAAAATCCTGGAAATTCTTACCTACTAGCATAGAGAAGCTTTACACCACACAGGCTGCAGTGATTCACGAAAACAAGACAAGTAATGCTGGCCATGCCAGTGATACCACATCCATATCTTGTGAATTTATCAAGAAAGAAGCCATCAGTACCATGGCTAGGTAGTCATTCTTTTCAAGACTGCAAGGTGCAAGTTACTGAAATGAACAACAAAGCTGAGCTCAATTCTATTTTCATCCAAAGTTCATAAATCAATAGTTTTCAGCAGAGCTCACTGAGCACCTGAGAAACCCTTGGATAAATGGTCTCTACATGAGCGAATAATGTCTTTATTATTTTGATGCTACAACTGGAAAGTAAGCTAATTAAGTACAAATCAGGGATTGAAACTGGGCAATCCTTTACACCGTGAGCCAATATCTTGAGTATTCCATCATGGTTGCTCTTTGGTTACTGCTCAAAAATATTATAGGCTCCAGCCTATTATCTATGCAGAAGATATTCATTAAGGCAGAATATTGCCAAATTAAGTTTCCACAATGGAGATAAGCTATTCAACTAAGACCATGAACTATTCAAAACATGATGAAAGGCCTCTTCAGGGCCCAACCAATGCTCTTCGCTCGATCAATATTACTATTATTAAATGAGATATGAAACCAGTCACTGATGACAGACATTTGCCAAGCAACATCACGGGACTTAAAATTTGAGCTGTAGGTTCTTTATCAATCATTGATTCATAAATCCAATGAAAGCTGGTCACATTACTGGATAATAATTAGCCAACTCAGGACAGTTCAGGTATTACAAAACAGATGGAGGAAATTTCACAATATAAAATAGCATACGCAAGAAACTAAACAAAATATACAGGCAGTCCCCAGGTTGCAGACGGATTCTGTACTGGAGTCCCTTCACAAGTTGATTTGTATGCAAGTCTGAACACAATGTAGGACAATATAAAATAGTTGTTAAGTACAGGAAATGTTTTATATCAGATCTTTAAAATTACACCCCTGTATAGGATCGCAGTCTTGTAAGTTGGGGATCCTCTGTATTCTCAAATGCTGTCAAATCACATGAGGATGACGTCAAGTGATTCTTGGTTTCAACAGACATATATATAGGAACGTATAGCAACAATGAAAATGCTCAACTAAAACACAGATCACATGAAGTCAGAGTTTGGTTAGGTCAGCATCACCCATTCTGGGGGCTTTGCTTGACACAGAAGCACAGTGATATTTAAGCTGCTAAGGCAAACAAGATCCACAAGGTTGATTCCTAGCATTATGAGTACGAGAACGACGAGAGAAGAATGCACTTGAAAGGAAATGAGTAAGAACGAATCTGAGAGGGGCATATTAAAGTTTGTAAAATGGCACTTAAATTATTCCAAACTAGATTTCAAGAAAAAAAATCATGACATGCTTTAAGTGAAGAAATGACTCATTTAGATCTGCTGCAGGAATAACATTTAGAGCAAGCAAAAGGAATAGACTTGCATTGAAATTGCCAAAGATTATCTAATAGTTATTTTGACTGTGTTCTATAATCTGATGATTTTATGACACAATAATAAGAGTTGTAGAGTTATGGAGGCAAAACCCTAGAATTTCTGCACAAACCTACATGTTGCAATTTGGGTGGTGAGCAGGGGAAAAGAGGAAGAAAGACAGCGAGAGAGAACAGATAAGCTATGATGAGGATTTATAATGCGATTAGAGGCAGCATACATACGTTGACAATAAAGAAATATCTCCTGTGCTCCATCTTTAGTTTTATATATCAGATTTCAACAATAATAGCAAGTTAGTTAACAATTACCAGGAATTAAAACGTAAGTGCACACTCTATGGATTTAGATGTACCGTTTTAACAACTTGTGTACGCTTTTCTACAATTCATTCTCAGTTACTCATTTTCAAGTCTGTATTTCACCAGTTTTTCCTCATATGTCACAAGTTAACAATCAGCCTGAAACACCTTCCCTGATGTTTGTCATGATACCATGAACATCCACACACAATTTTATTCCAAAAATAAAAAATTTACTAAATAAGTGTGTAATTTTTTAGCCTGGAAATATTGTGACACATGGATTTAAAAAATACAATTCTACTCAGCATAGCAAAACATTCAATTACAGCCAACATTGCAAAAATGCAGAAAAATTGTAGCCGGCAGTCCCCAAAATATTGTGGCTGGTGGTGCCCAAAATATTTAACAGTTGGCCTGGCAAAATCTTCAAGAACTGTTCTGAGGAAGGGTCACCGGACAAGAAACATTAACTGATTTCTCTTCACAGATGTTGCCAGACCTACTGAGGTTTTCCAGCAATTTCTGTTTTTCTTTCTGATTTACAGCATCCACAGTTCTTTCAAATTTTCTTAAATAACCGTGGCCGGCCCAGCAAAATGTGAAATAAAATTGTAGCTGACATGATGGCAAATTATACAGTAAAATTATGGTCAACATGCAAAAATGTGAACTTCCACAAATTATTTTGAGAGCACTATGTTTTTCTGGTATACCTATGCTGACACTATCTCCCTCCCTGGCTTGAATCAGTGTCATGTACAAACAGGCAGCTCTTCACTTCCTCCCGAAGCTCGGGCCTAGCGCTTCTGGAAGCCCGAGCCTCCGAGTCGAGCGGGTGCCCAGCGAACTCCGCCCTACGGGGGAGGAAGGAAGGCAGGCTTATCCGACACCCCGCTCCTTCTCTTTCTTCACTCACCAGATCTGGAAGCGCAGCACCGGCCCGGTGACATACTGCATCTTGAGCCGCTTGTCGGCCAGCCCTTGGCTGAGGTTGCCCAGGCAGGTGAAGGCGAACAGCAGGAGAGAAAGCGCGGCCATACCCGGCAGGGCCATCATCGCTGCAGAGCCGGCTGCCGTCACCGCGGAGACCGAGAGGAGAGAGACAATGCGCCTGCGCGGCCGGCTCGGGCGCACGTGATCAACATCCCCGTCACGTGACCCCCAACGCCACCAAACTGCTACTTTGGCAGGGATAGTAGGAACTGCAGATGCTGGAGAATCCGAGACAACAAGGTGCGGGGCTGGATGAACACAGCAGGCCAAGCAGCATCATAGCAGCAGAGAGGCTGACGAAACGTCAGCCTCTCTGCTCCTATGATGCTGCTTGGCCTGCTGTGTTCATCCAGCCCCGCACCTTGCTACTTTGGCACCCAGCAGCCTCCAGGCATTGAAAAGGTCCCACCTTTGGACCAGGAGACCCAGGTTCAAGTCCCACCTTCTCAACAGGATGATTAGAAAACATACCTCAAGTCTTGCGAGGGTCAGTGGTGACGGAGCCCAGAGGAAGGAAAAAAGGAACAAAGTGATTGTTGATGGTGAACTCAGGAAGACGAAAAGCTAGGTAGCTGATAATGAGGACGATGAGTGGGTGCAAAAGGGGTTGGCTGTGCTCAAAGCAATCCACATTATGGCAGAATAAAAACCGAAAGAACTACAGATGCTGGATCTGAGGAAGGGTCACTGGTAGAAGACAGAGCGTAGTGGTAGAGGGTTGCCTTTCAGACTGCATTCGTGTGCCGCAAGGTGTGGTGCTGGGTCCATTGATTCTCATCATTTATATAAATGATTTGAATGTGAACATAGGACGTATGGTTAGTAAGTTTGCAAATGATACCAAAATTGGAGGTGTGGTGGACAGCAAAGAAGGTTACCTAAGAGTACAATGGGATCTTGATCAGATGGGCCAGTGGGCCAAGGAGTGGCAGATGGAGTTTAATTTAGGTGAATGTGAGGTGCTGCATTTTGGAAAGGCAAATCAGAGCAGGACTTATACACTTAATGGTAAGGTCCTGGAGAGTGTTGCTGAATAAGGACACCTTGGAGTGCAGGTTCATAGTTCCGTGAAAGTGGAGTTGCAGATAGATAGGAAAATGAAGAAGGCATTTGTTTATGCTTGCTCTTATTGGTCAGTGTATTGAGTCTAGGAGTTGGGAGGTCATGTTATGCCTGTACAGGACACTGGTTAGGCCTCCCTGCTATAGGAAAGATATTGTGAAATTTGAAAGGGTTCAGAATAGATTTATGAGAATGTTGCCAGGATTAGAGAGTTTGAGCTATAGGGAGAGGCTAAATAGGCTGGGGCTATTTTCCCTGGAGTGTCGGAGGCTGAAGGATAACCTTATAGAGGTTTATAAAATTATGAGGAGCATGGATAGGGTAAATAGACAAGGTCTTTTTCCCAGGGTGGGGGAGTCCAAAACTAAACAGCACAAGTTTAAAGTGAGAGGGGAAAGATTTAAAAGGGAGATAAGGGGCAGCTTTTTCACACAGAGGGTATGCATGTATGGAATGAGCTGCCACAGGAAGTGATGGAGGCTGGTACAATTACAACATTGAAAAGGCATCTAGATGTGTATATGCATAGGAAGGGTTTAGAGGGATATGGGCCAATGCTGGCAATAGGATCAGTTATGTTTAAGATATCTGGTCAGCATGGACAAGTTGGACCAAAGGGTCTGTTTCCGTGCTGTACATCTCTGTGACTCTAAGACCTGAAATATTAAGTCCGATTTCTGTCCACAGACTTGCTGAGCTTTTCCAAGAAATTTTTTTATTTTTTTTATTGTTGGCCATGTCATGACAGAATCTGAGATTGGGGCTGGGTAAAGGACATGGGAGGAGGTATTTGGCCTCTAAAATTATTGAACTCGATATTGAACCCTTCAGGCTAAGAGGATGTTTCCCCTTATGGGGAGTCTTGGACCAGAAGGCATAGTCTCAGAATAAAGGGGCTACAATTTAAACTGAGATGAGGAGGAATTTCTTCTCTCAGAGGGTTATGAGCCTTTGGAAATCATTACCACAGAGAGCTGTAGCGGCAGAGTCCTTATGCATATTTAAATCTGAGATAGATAGGTTCTTGATCAGTAGATAAATAAAGAGTTGCAGGGAAAACACAGTAGATATGAGGAATGACAGTGCAGGTTTGAACAGCTGAACACCTAGTCTTGTTCCTATTTCTTGTGGTCTTCTGGTCTAACACTGCAAGGTCCCCATGCAGAAAATGAGATTCTGTTCCTCCAGCTTGTGTTGAGCCTCCCGGGAGCATTACAGCAGGCTCAAGACAAAAATGTTGGCATGGGAACACAGAACACCATTGTCATCAAGATAAATAACACTTTTTCCCAGATGCTATCAGTTCTAAAGAAGAGTCACTGGATGCGACACATTAACTCTGATTTCTCCCCACAGACAGAGTCATAGAGTTGTACAGCATGGAAACCCTTTGGTCCAACTCTTCCACGTCGATCAGACATCCTAAATTAATATAGTCCCATTTGCCAGGATTTGGCCCATATCCCACTAAACCCTTCCTATTCATGTACCCATCCAGATGCCTTTCAAATGTTGTAATTGTACCCGCCTCCACCAATTCTTCTGGCCGTTCATTCCATACGTGCACCACCTACCAAATCTGATGAGTTTCTCCAGCAGTTTCTATTTTTGTTTCAGATTTCCATCATCCACAGTTCTTTGTTCTATCCTCAAGTCCTGTGTATCTGACCACCTGGCAACTGCACAAATGGGGAAAAGCTACCATCTATAACATCTTTCTGTCATAATATAACCACAATCTGTTAAGTTTGAGCTCCCCTTGTAGCTTCAATTGGAATATAAATATATTCTCATGTTTAAAAATGCAACCGAATTGAAGCTCTAATCAGAAATGTCAAAATTAGTCACAGTCATAGTCATAGAGCACAGAAACAGACCCTGTGGTCCAACCCATCCATGCCGACCAATTTTCCCAAACTAAACTAGTCCCACTTGCCTGTGTTTGGCCCATATCCTTCTAAACATTTCCTATTCATGTACCTGTTCAAATGTCTTTTAAATGTTGTAAATGTGCCTGCATCTACCACTTCCCCTGGCAGTTCATTCCACATACAGACCACCCTCTGTGTAAAAAAAGTTGCCCCTCAGTTCCTTTTTAAATCTTTCTCCTCTCACCTTAAAAACGTGCCCTCTAGTTTTGAAGTCCCCTACCCTAAGGAAAAGACCTTTGCTATTCATCTTGTCTGTGCCCCTCATGATCTACTGTATTTTCTGGAATGCCCATTCTAAACTGTTTTGTATTTTTTATATTCACTTATTGATGAATAAAATACATTTATGAAATGAAAAAAATTAATAAATGGTTTGGGATGAAAAAAATAAATTGTATAGCCATAAATAAAGTGATAGTTTTTTGTTGTCAGAGAACCAATAAAGCTTCATAGAGGGATTATTAGCATAGATTTAAAGTAGGGACTAGAGGTTTAGAGGGGACATGAGGAAAATATTTTAATTAGAGGCTGGTGGGAATCTGGAACTCACTTCCTGTGAGGGTGGGAGAGGCAGAAACCCTCATAACATTTAAGTGGTATTTAGATGTGCACATGCAAAGCCAAGGCGTAGACAATACTGGAAAATGGGATTAGAATATTTAGGTGGTTGTTTCTGACATGTGCAACTCAGCTTGTCAGGCAGCATCTGGAGAAGGAAAGAGTCACGTTCTATTTGAAACTTCAACTTTGTTTCTCTCTCCACGGATGCTATCACACCCACTAAGTTTCTCCAGCACTTTCTGATTTTACTACTGTGCCACATATATATGTGTATATACATGTGTGTGTGTGTATGTGTATGTGTATATGTATGTATATATGTATAATATATGCTCACACACGCATATATATATTGTATAATATACACGTGGATACTGGAACTTGCTAATGGCATTACAGATCTACCTACAGCAAATGGACTGGAGCAATGCAAGAAGACAGCTCTTCACCACCTTCTCAAAGGCCACAAAAGACGTGTAATAAATAAAAACCGAAAGAACTGTGGATGCTGTAAATCAGAAACAAAAATAGAAATTGCTGGAAAAGCTCAGCGGGTCTGGCAGCATCTGTGCACAGAAATCAAAGGTAACGTTTCGGGTCGAGTTACCCTTCCTCAGAACTGATGGTAGCTAGGAAAATGTAGGTTTATATGCAGAAGATAGAGTGGGGGGGTGAGGGGGTAAGGAATAATTTACAGGTGGGGATAGAGCCCAGAGAACAAGAACAGTTAAATAGACAAAGGAGTGGGTAACATCTGGCTAGGAGGGTGAATATCTGTTAATGGGCACTGTTAGTTGCTAACAATAGGTGCTATGTAATGGCAGCCTATGTGATAACATGCAGGCTATGCAATGTGCAATAAATGCTGGCCCGGACAGCAGTGAACTATATCCTATGAATGAATTTAAAAGGAATTATCCCTGTACACGTAACAAGTAGAAGTTAAAATTCTTACAAACCTGCTAGATTCAAGTCCCACAGCAGGAAATGAGCAGAAAACATGAAAGATGATGCTCCAATGCAGATTTGAAACAATGCTGCTCTGTCAGAAGTGATTAAAATGAAATCATAGAATCATTGAATCCCTACAGTGTGGAAACAGGCCCTTCGGCCCAACAAGTCCACACTGAAACTCAGAGCATCCTACCCAGACCCATCCCCCTATAACCCACCTAATCCACACCTCCCTGAACACTATGGCCAATTTAGCATGGCCAATCCACCTAACCTGCACATCTTTGGACTGTGAGAGGAAAGACCTGCTGAGTTTCACCTGTAATTTAAGCTTTTTATTTCAGATCTCTAGTATCCGCAGTTGTTTGTTTTATTTTAATATAAAACACCATCTACTGTGGCAAGATTTGAACCCATGTCCCCAGGCCTGAAGAAGGGTCTAGGCCCGAAACGTCAGCCTTCCTGCTCCTCTGATGCTGCTTGGCCTGCTGTGTTCATCCAGCTCTACACCTCGTTATCCCCAGACCTGGGTCTCTGGATGAATAGTCTAGGATAAAACCCCTATGCCATTGCCTCCAAAGTTATGGGAAATGCTCTAAAGATTCTTTTAGGATCAGCAG